AGTGTGAGGCAGTGCTAGGTGGGACCCCCGAGCTTGACTTCTGACCTCAGTCTTTAAGTACATTTTTTCAGCCCTCTCAGGAGCGCCGCGGGTGGCCAGGGGGTCGGGGGCTTGCACAGGGGCCCTCCCCACCTCGAGTGCGCTTCCGACCCTTGGGGTGACCAGCGGGGGGCCAGGGCAGAGACTTCCCGTTAGTTCTTAGATACTGCTTCCATGTGCAGGTATTGTTTTGGCAAAATAATTAAAAAGATCAGCTTTCAAATCTCATTTTTTAAAATTAAGTACTTTTCTAAGTCAAAGGATAGAAACCAAGACACGGCAACACTATGTACTATTTCACTGCACACTTAAATCCCAGGAAAATTTTGCTCAGTTGAGAACTCAAATTTGGATCAGCGAGTTTAAGGCATTGAAAAGGAACGTAGCTAGGACTTATCTGAAACATTATTCTGGGACATTAGAATTCACTTTAAAAGAACATAATTAAATTTTCACTGTTGGATTATTCCTGCCATGTGAGCAACCTAAAATATATTCCAGACGATTAGCTAATTACAGACATACGTGAAGTGAGGCCTACCTGTTGGGCACATCACTGCAACCTGGAGAATTCAGCTATGTACCTGTGCCATTTCCTCACCTGTAGCGCAGGATTCCACGAAAAGCTCTAGTGGCTTCTTCAGATTAAAATTAGGATAGCTTTTTTCTCAGTTATACACTACGTAAACTCTGCTACAAAAATATTTAGATATTACAGATAAAGCTGAAGTTCCCTTGAGCACCGTGCCATCCCCAATCACGCTGCCTTTCAAGAATCACTGATAAGCGTGTTGTGTCTTTTCAGCTCTCTGGGTATTTGTGTACGTGTGTGTAGATGGTCTTATGCTCATCTTATGACAGGAATAATTACATCACGTTGAACCCAGTTCAGTGGCAGGATTGAGAATCCAACTCAGTCTTTCCAAATCATAGGGATCTAGAAGACAGCTGATACAAATTGAAGAGCCCAAGTCAAAAATCGTGAATAGCTTGAGTAGCCTAAGGAAGACATCAACCCACAAGGCCATATCATTCATTCACTCATTCATTCACCATTTACTGAACAGCATCATGCCAGGTGTGCACAGCCACCTGCCTGAGTCACCAAGCTGGACAGAATCAAGCCTGGAACCTATGTACTTACAGTTCCTAGATGCTCTACTGGCCCTGCTGGACGGGCCAAAGCTGGCTCTGTCTTGACATTCAGATCTAGCTCAATTCCATTCTAAATCCAATTCTAAATCAGCCTCCCTCCTGTGCCAGCTGCCACCCCTCCCCTCACCCCACCCACGGGCTTCTTCTTTGCCTCGGAACACTTAAGATCCTTCAACTGGTCAGCTTCTGGCTGGCTTGGTTCTCTTCCTCCTCAAGCTCTGTAACAGCCAGAATCTGGTGGGGTCATTGCTGTATTCCCAGTGCCTAGAACAGGTGCTCAAAAAAACCCAAAACAAAACAAAAAGCAAACAAACAGAAAAACCCAACAACTTGAAAAAACTTAATACTTAATTCATGTATTCATTTAACAGATATTTATGGAGCTCCTACTATGTGTCAGGCACTATTCTCAGCACTGGGGCAAAGGAATGGGTAAATAAATGGATATAAAGTAAAAATCCATAGGCTTTTCTTCTGTCAGGTGCATGAACCTAGCGACAGCCACTCTGCCCACTCCAAGGCCTTTTTGGCATACCTCAGTGTCTCACCTTTGTCCCCAGGGTCCAAGCTTGGTACCTGACTTATGATGCCCTTTATTAACAAAAGAGACGGAAACAAATACTGTAGTAGACAGGGATTAATGTTTTATTAATGATAACCTACATTCGCACCAGGCATTTCTAAGATTGACATCCAAACAGCATATCGTATTTACATGCACTGGACAGTCCAAGGTAACAATTTCAAACCACGGCTGCATTAAGACTATGGTTTATTCCAAATTAAATTAAATACATAATACTCTTACCTCCCCTTTTCAGCATGTACAATAAAAAACCATTCTTCCTCCTTTTAAGGAATATAAAATTGCATTGATAACTGCACTGATTAGCAACAAATACACTTGAAACATTTAAAACCTGAGAGATGAACCCAAATGTGTTTTAAGCACTTACACGTCTACACTCGAATTCACATGTGAACACTATGGTAATAGAGATTGGTCAGTGGTCAGTGGTGCATGATTGAGGTGGCTCTGATAGAGACTGATACCGGCTGCCAGCTTTTGCTT